GAAACACTGAGTTGAAATACAAATGATTCATTGCCTTGAACACTTATTAATCCTGTTTTGAACAAAATGTCCCCAAAGACTAGTTTAAACGCCAATTGAATTGCTTTGTAATAAATGGCCATTACAATTTGCCCTCTCTCTAAACAGGACTTGCTTTGAATTAATTGAATCCTTGGTTTCTTACTTTTAATAACAGCTGGAAAATGGACCCACAACTATGCCTCGAACCTCCCATGATAGCCCAAAATTTTGACCACAAAATCCTAAAACATTGTAACAAATCTTGGACATGGACCTTATTCATGGCACACAACCAGAAAATCATAACTAGTCATCAAAGCTGTACACCAACTTTTAACGAATTAACATGTGACTAACTGATCTTAGCTCATAATAAAATGTAAAAAATTAAGCATGGCCTATGACTACTTGAAGCCCTTAATCATGGTTTCTCATCATAGCTAGAAATTAAACCTTGAAGCAATCCAATGTGGTTTGAGACATGAAGGATCCCCACATGCGCTTTTAACCAGAATTTGAAATAATTCCTCCAACCATGGCTTATAAATAGGACAAACCCACTTGGAACATGATCTTTTTCTTGGAATGAATGAGTCGTGTCTTGAGTATGTTAATGAGGATACCTCCTTCCACAGGAATTCACCATATCTTATCAAGGGCCTATAATTACACAAAACCTCCACAACCTAAATCCCAAAGGATCATGGACAAAGTCTAGATGATCCTCTCGAGAAAGATCAACACAAACGCTCGGTATAAAAGAATGGGGAGTAGGACAAATTTGGGGTATGACAACATGCAGGCCAGAAAAATCAACATGAGCACGCAGGCCCAGAAATACAAAAACAACCTCGACAGCCCTTGGTGATAAGAGAAACCTCGGGGTTCACTATCCTAAGTTGTTCTACGGTGCTCGCATAGTCAACCTCGACAGCCCCAAGCAGTCTTGCTCGAGCTCCCGAATCTTTGCCACCAGCTCAGCCCGAGAGAGCAGGAGTTTTTGCTCATTGGTCTCCTCCTCGGCAGGATGAAAGGCAGCCTCCAACTTCGCGACCCGCATCTGCAGCCTCAATCTATCCTTCCTAGTGGCCTTCAGCTGCTCCTCTGATTCACTGTTTCGCTTGCGCTGCGCGGCATTGTCCTCCCTGGTCAAGTCCAACTCAGCAGCCAACTTGGTCATCTTCGACTCAGCAGCTAGCAGATCCCCCCGCAATTTGGTAAGATCAATAGAAGAGCAACCCTAGCCACTCAAAGCGAAGGAGGTCGAGAAGACTCGCATCATCGCAACCAAGTCCTTGGTCATCCTTTGCCTCCTCGTTTCCCGACTGGCCTCGAGAACTACCTTCGCCTCCGCGGCCGACACAACAAGGGACCTGACCCCATGGAAGAAACTAGGATGCAAATGACAAGGGGGGATAAGGAACCCCTCCTCTACGCCACCCTCAGTAAGGCCGACGACAGCCTCTGGCCCACAGACCCTCACCCTCTTTGGAGTCCCTTGCAACATAGGATATTGGCTCCCCTATGGTAACGACAAAGAACCTCTTCCTCTTGATCGGAAGTGGGTTGCTGCTGCACTTGAGCCACCCTCCCTTTTCCGCTCTTTGACGCACCCCTGGTGGCCATCAATCTCTTCACACGCTCCTGCATGGTCGACATACTCCCTACAAAACACAAAGGGCAAAGGGTTAGCGAACACGAAAGTAACAGAGCGTAGAAGGGGGGCGGGCGAAAGACAACCCACTACTTAAGAAACACAAGGCTTCCTCGTCCGACGAACATTCGAGCAGAGCCCTCGTATTAATAAGCCTCGACTGTTGGAGGATATTCTCTTAGCTGTCGAGGATAAAGTTACCGTCAGGCGTCATGAGTTTCACCGGGGTAAAGCTGGCCATGAAGGCCACCAACCTTTGATAGCCTATCTGGTCCTCCTCGTCCAAGGTACCTGCCCGCGCGATATAATGATTCGTTCCCCTTTTGAAGTGTTCCTTTGTCCAATCCAAGGGGACCCTCGGCACCATGACCTCTTCCATTTTCATATTCACCTCCCGGGTTTCACGGTGAAATAACGAGGCGCATGCCTCATGAGACACGGACCGAACCACAAAGAATCTATCTTTGAAAGTTCAGAAAGAATCCATGTAGGCCCTGAAAAGTCTCATCGGCTGCTTCAGTGATACCCATCCTTGTCGGCCATCAATCGTCTGCCTTTGTAGGTGAAAAAGCCGAAAGAACAGTGTGAGAGTGGCCCCGATCTTGGGGTGCAACTGCGAAGGCGCCAGCCTCAACCAGCCGAAGACCCCCAGTTGAAAATCCAAGAAGGGCAGCTGAAGTCCCGCTTCACGAAAGCGAAATTCATACATGGGAAATTGCATCTTCCCATAGCTCGAGCATATACGGTGGTGGGCCCGTGGTCTGTATGCTTTCCATCTCACAGAGGAGCCCTCGCGATGGTCCTCAATTGTGGCGAAAGTGTCAAAGTCATCCTCGACGAAACGGAAAGGTGTGCTCAGGGGCTCCTCCCCGACCCAGTCATCGACTGTCCTATTCTTCCCCTCAACAGGCGGGGCCGCGAGAGCGTCTGGCTCTACGTCAACTTCCATAACTCCTAGTATCCACGTGGTCATGTTCACCTGAAAAGCAGAGGAAAATGGTGAATTCAACGTTTCAATATCAAATTCACCCTTCCACCATAATTTAAGTGAAAGGGCGAAGGGGACGACAACTACGACCTAGGCTCCCCTGACCTCGACATCCACCTCCCCGCGTGTTTTACTGTCATATCCCCGGGACGTTCATCTAGTGATAGCATGCGTCCCCGGGGCATTCGTCTAGCGCTAACGTGCGTCCCCGCGACGTTCGTCTATACCTAGCATACGTCCCCGGGACATTCATCTATACATATCCTATGTCCTCGAGGTGTTCACCCAAACCCTATCATATGTCCCCGGGGTACTCATACGACACCATTACATGTCCCCAGGAGCTTCATCCTAGGTCAAGGGAGTCCTGTTCTAATCGCCGAGAAACCCACATCTTCCTCGGGACACTCGTCGTGTCCACCGCAGGAGCTACCAGAAATAAAAGAAATAGAAGAAAAGGAAGAAAGGACTTACTTGATATAGTAGCTTGAGCAAAAGTACATCAGACTTCGCGGTGGGCGATGCGGTGGTTGCGTTTGCACGACGACGAAAGTGTGGGAGAGCAAGAGAAAAGTGTGTTCGTTGGAGATGGGAGCGAAAAGTGATGAAGGGGCAAGCCCTAGCCTATTTATAAACCTAGCACGAAACTCGAAGCGCCCCTAGGCACTCAAGTACCCCTAGGGTTAGCCACCCTAGGACGAGCAATGGGAAACAGACACGTGGCCACCACAAATGACTATGTCCCTTCGTCCTCCCTTGAGCGCAGAAGGCTGGCGCCAAGTCAACTTTCGCCTCCCCGACATGGTATCCCAGCAAACACGGCTCTCGACCCCATCGTTTGGGCCTGGGACCGCCTTCCCTATTTGTCCTCGACATGACTTGCTCTTAAGTCATCACTCCTCCGCCTCGGAGCAACGACTTGGGGGGGGGGGGACTTCTGTTCTGGACTGGGTCGTGACCTGCCCATCAGTCGGGCAGACCCAACCCAACACTATGTTGGGAAGGCCCAATCCTCCCAGGTCGGGCACAAGCCAATATGTCGGGCAGACGAAACCTTTGACGAACAGACTCACACATTTTTCCCATGTTCTCCACGTGCCCCCCACGCGGGGACACGTCATCAAGCAACTACCCACCTCCGAAAGAGTTGGTCATCCCACCTTCTGAAGATCACGGGACAGTTGATCTAGGGCAAAGACCACGTGCTGGTCTTCACTACGGCACGTAAGCCCTAGCACTTACTTGGGTTGGGTCTGGCAGTCTGGTCCCATCCAAGTAACCGTTAGCCCCCGCTGAGGTCTCTCTATAAATACCCTCTTTCACTAGAGGGTCAGGTATTCTATTCTCTACACCTACTTTTATATTTGCTCTCCCACTTTGATCCTTTACTTACTTAAGCATCGGAGTACCTTGCAGGTACACCCCTCCTTCTCCCTACCTTTGGTGAAAGTTACAGTTCAACGATGCGTGACAAGCCATTGATCCTTTCTGATCAGGTACGATCAAGTTATATTCTAGATTAATAAGTGCCACTTACATACCGTATTTTGTAAACCGACAAATGTATTAACAAATGATTTACTAATAAAACTATTTAATCAACTTTATTTAAAAATTTAAAATTATTGATATCTCTTCACCAATTTGAGGATGAGCATAATTAAAATGTGAATAATAACATTTGTATTATTTACATTTATTAACAATATAATATTAATAATGTAAATATTTTATCATATTAATACGAGGCTTATTAAATTTAAATCTAGATCTAGATTCTAACAAAACAAGATGATGTTGCACTATAGCAACACCACAAGAACAAATGTTCAAGTAGTAGTAACAACACAAACAAATGGAAGCAAAAGAAGCCACATGTCATTTCCTCCATCTCCCTTTCAATGGCTACCGAAAAACCTGCAATGGCCAATCACTCATACTTTACATTTACCTGCCACTTCTTATCGCTCTCCCTTTTTATCTCTCCTACCTATTTGCTTCTCTTCCTTTTTCTTCAATTCATTCATTATTCTTCACCCTTTTTTGCCATCACCATGTGTTTTCTTCACCATCTCCAAACCAATACCTACACTTTTCTCAATATTTCTCACATGCAAAAATATATATAAACCATGCCATGATGTCATTCACGTTCTTGGAATGGCCTAAATTCTACCTTTTTTTCTCGGATCAAGTGAATACCATGTTTTGTATACTTGTTTCTTGCGGCGCAATCTTCTAGTGGGTACTTATTTTTTGTGAAATTGGGTTGTGTAAAAAAAAAAACAAATCTTTTTGTTTGTTGGAGCAATTGGAATATTATGTAATGGAACAAAAATGGCACCAGGAAATTATTGCAGCTCTCAGGTAGTAGCTATATTTGGCGAGTATTCCATGGAGGATCAAAATGATGATACTTTGGGGAACTTGAATCAGAATATTGTTGGCAAACCTCCAAGGGATCATTCTGTTAGTATGCGTCATTGCACCAGCTCTTCGTGGTTGGCTGATTCGGTTAGCATCATAACCATCAAATATATTTTTTTTACTATTTCACGAATCAAAACGACAAAGGCTGAATGACAGAGTATCTGTCAACCATACCACTTTTATTTGTATCGTGTTAATAGAGTTAATTAACAACTTTGGTTTATTTTGTATTGTGGCTATATAGGAATCAAATATTAATACTGATGGCATTAAATCAAACACAGAAGATAAATCTGAGTTTCCTCTTGTATTAAGATCTGGAAGTTGTTCTGAGAAAGGACCAAAACAATACATGGAGGATGAGTTTGTATGTGTTGATACTCTTCTTGAATGTAACTGTATTGCTCAACAACTAGACCTTCCATCTCCATCGGCATTTTATGGGGTATGTATATTTCTTCGTAAGTTGAGTAACCTCGTTCAGTTGTTTGCATGCATTTGACAAACTCATGAAGATTGTATAATATTGATTAATATGCAGATATTTGATGGACATGGTGGTGTTGATGCCGCATCATTTATTAAAAAGAACATGTTTAACTTTATAATCGAAGATTCTCAATTCCAATCTAGCATTAAGAAGGCAGTTAAGAGTGCATTTGTGAAGGCTGATCATGCATTTAGAGATGCCGGTACACTTGATAGTTCCTCAGGAACCACAGCTCTAATAGCCCTTGTCTTGGGAAAGTAAGGTCAAAGACCTAAGCACCATCGATACATTTAATTAAGCTGTAAATCTTAGCTAACTTCTTATGTTACAGGGCCGTGCTGGTTGCGAATGCAGGAGATTCGCGCGCGGTATTAGGCAAACGCGGCCGAGCAGTTGAACTTTCAAAAGACCATAAACCAAATTGCACGTCTGAAAGATTAAGAATTGAAAAACTAGGCGGTGTTATCTATGACGGTTACCTAAATGGACAACTATCAGTGGCACGTGCAATAGGAGATTGGCACATAAAAGGTTCAAAAGGTTCAAAAAGTCCCTTAAGCTGTGAGCCAGAGTTAGAGGAAATTGTCCTAACAGAAGAAGATGAGTTTTTGATATTAGGGTGTGATGGATTATGGGATGTTATGAGTAGTCAATGTGCTGTTACAATGGTTAGGAAGGAACTTGTGCAGCATAATGATCCTAACATATGTGCTAAGGTACTTGTTACTGAGGCACTTCAAAGAAACAGTTGTGATAATCTAACAGTTGTTGTGGTTTGTTTCTCTAAGGATCCACCTTCTAAAATTGAAATTCCTAGATCACATAGGAGAAGAAGTATTTCTGCTGAAGGTCTTGATCTTCTCAAAGGTGTTTTGAATGGTAGATGAATGGATAAGATTTTATTAGAGATTTGTACAGATTGAGTTGTTGGGTGCTCATACTTGAGATATGGCTCATCAATAAGTCTCTTTTGTCAAAGTGATGAATTGCACAACATATCATATAAGTTGCTTGTTGATTCATTCAATGTTGGTTTAGGAGAACTATGAAGTAAATTAGATAATTTTATTTTTTATGTTTCTTACTTCTTATTAGGTTGTCTTTCATTTTATTTGAGTTTATTATTGTATATTTGTAAGGAACACTCAATTTTGTTTTATGATGATGTCTTAAACATGCCTTTACTTTTATAGTTGTATGTAATCATATTTGATTTGGTTATAATTACTCCATCCTTTCCAAAACATTTGTCATCTTAGTAGGACATATTTGTTTTTTCAAAGAATATATGCAAATTTACTTAATTATAACAATCCCAAAAAAGATATTTTTCTACCTCAAATATTTAGAGACAAATGTAGTTTCAACTACTAAATGTCATCTTAATCATTATTAGTGGTGATGTCATCAACATATCAAACTAAGTAAGTATAGGCAAATGGTTGGTGAAGAATGCAAAAAGAAGATATAGTTTTCAACATCACTTTTAATCATGTCATATTCTTGAGGCATTGTGTTTAAACCTTTCAAATAAAACATGGGGAGATCATTTCAATTCATACGTAGATCGACAAAGTCGTTAGATGGGTGAGAAGTGTTAAGTGCAACTGCACTTGTACTTAGTGGAAAAAAAGAGATAATATGAAAGATGTGGGAGAAGATGTTTACATGTGTGAGAAGAGTTTTTATTATTATTGGAGAAAAGTTATTTAAAATGTAACTTAACACATCATTTATATACAAATGTTGTGTGACTTGTAATGTAAGTAACTAATTTAAATAGCTACAAACTAACTAACTAACCACCTTCTAACTACTTTAAATGGATTAAATGATAACATACTCTCTTATAATTCATTCTAAGTATTACCACAAAACATTAAAGCAATTTAACTATTGAATTGAACCACTCCTACCTTTTACTTAAGAGTCAAAAATCTGTTAACTTTCAATCATTTGGTAAAGATGTCTGTCAACTGAGATTCACTTGAACAATGTCTTACTTCAATTTTTCCTTGAGGCACCTACTCCCTCAAGAAATGAAACATGACTTCTATGTGTTTGCTCATGCCATGAAGAATATGACTCCTTTCCAAATTGATAGTTGGCCTGTTATTTAATTGAAGAACAAATGGTTTTCTAACTGTAAACTTTAATTCATCCAGTACTGATTCAATCCAGAATGCTTGGCTTGTTGCATAGGATCGTCCTATGTATTCAGCTTCACATGAAGACAATGCCACAATTGATTGCTTCCTTGAGCACGATGAGGCTGATGCTCTAAAAGCCTTGAAAAAATAATTTGTTATGCTCTTTCTATCAGAGTTATCTCTACACCAATTAGAATTTGACTAGCATGTGATTACTGCATCATCATCACCACTTGTGTTGCTAGGAAACAAGAGACCTCAATTCATGGTTCCATTTAGGTACCTTAGAATTATCCTTGCAGTTTTCATGTGAGATAACTTTAGATCATTTATGTATCAGCTTATCAAGCCAACTACAAAGTTTATGTCAGGTCTGCTATTGCATAGGTATCTTAATGAGCCTAATATCTGCTTAAACCGGGTTGCATCGACCTTGTCATCATCTCCATTCTTCTCAAGTTTCAAGTTTACTTCAATAGGTGAAGTTGTAGGGCTAGATTCAAGCATGATGAATCTCTTAAGAGCTTCTTTAACATACTTCCTTTGATGCAGAATCATACCTCTTCCAATTCTTTGAAACTTTGTGCCTAAGCAATATGATAGATCTCCCAAATCTGACATTTCAAATCCTTCATCACCAGCTTCTTGAACTTGTCTAGATATTTGATATTATATCCCTGTGACAAACAAATCATCAACATATAGGTAGATGATTATTGTGTCACCTCCTTTTGATTGCACATATACACCATATCTGGGTCTACATTTGGTAAAATCCAATTCCACAAAGTATGAGTTAATTTTCTTATTCCATGCCCTTGGTGCCTATTTGAAACCATAGAGGGCTTTGTCCAATCTATACACAATCTTTTCTTTCTCTTCTTTCACAAAATTTGAAGGTTGTGTGACATAGACCTCTTCATCTAATGGTCCATTTAGAAATGAAAATTTCACATAAAGATGGTATGTCAACTAGCTTTTCTCAGCAACTTATTCCATGTTTCATTTTTCAAGGCTTCATTACAGTTGTAGATTCTGCATCATCTAGTAAGGCAAAATGAACAAGATCTTCATCCCCTGTAACTTCGTTGTTAGCAATTACCTCACTATCTTCTAATCTTGTTGGGAGTATCCTTGTTCTCTGAGGCCTCTGAATGACCACAGGTACATGTTCATGCAAGTCATCTGGTATAACATCATTATCATCATCTTCTTCTTCTTCTGACTCTTCCTCTAACCCTGAGTTCAATAAAGGTTTACTACCTGTGCTATTTGATGTCCAATTCCATGCTTCATTTTCATCAGTAATAATGTATTAATGTCTCTATTAATTATAATATTCTCACTGATTGGATTAAACAATTTATAAGCACCAGTGTTGTGTTAGCCAGCCAGAATCATGGCTTCACTCTTGTCATCCAGCTTTTTCCTTCTAGCATCATGCACATGTTTGTAACAAACTAATCCAAACTTTTTAAGATGATTCACAAATGATTTATTTCCACTTCATACCTCTTATGGAACCTTATTCTTCAATCTTCTTATTGGACATCTTTTTAGCACATATGTAGCGGTAGTAACTACTTCACCCCACAATGAGTTACGCATGCCTTTTTTGCTTTAGCATACACCTAGCCATATCCAAGATGTTTTTATTCCTCATCTCAGCTATACCATTATGTTGAGGGGTATATGGAGTTGTCACTTCATGATCAATTCTATTATGAGCATAAAATTCTTCAAATGTCTTAGAAGTATACTCTCCTCCACCATCTATTTTGAGTATTTTGATCTTCTTCTCATTTTGATTTTCCATAATCAACTTGAATCTTTTAAAAACTTAAAAGACTTTATCTTTATGTTTGATAAAATACACCCATAGTTTTCTACTATGCTTATGCACAAAAGAAATAAAATATTTGTTTCCTCCAATTATATGGTCTATAAAAGGGCCACAAACATCTGAGTGTACAACCTCAATAATGCTTGTTGATCTCATAGGAAAATAGGGCTTGAATGAATTTATGGATTGCTTTCCTACCAAGAAACCTCCACACAATTTCACAGGCATTAATAATTTAAGAATACTAAGCATCATCTCTTGTGTCACAAGATGATTGAGATATCTGAAATTCAAATGACTAAATTTCACATGCCACAACCAGCTTTGTTTGTTCTCAATCAGAGCCTGCAAACATTGAACTTCTGTTGAACTGATTAGAGTCTTGAAGGTTTTATTCTTTGACAAAAGACATCTTAAAAGCAACTTGTTGGTTGATCAAAAAGTTCAAAGACTTTATTTTTCATAATTATTGAGAATCATTTCTCAATAAATTGACCAACACTCAATAATTTACACTTCATGTCTGGCACATATAACACATCTTTAATTATGGTTGGGCTACCATTGCTCCTTGTGATCACCATGTTACTTGCTCTTTCTTCCTGTGGTGATCTATTATCTGCAAGTCTCATCTTGCTCCTTCTTGAGTTATCAAAATTAGTTTCTGAAGTCAAACTTAACTCTTTGATACCATGTTGGCAATAATGAACACATAGAAACATAAAGAAGAAAAAGACTCGTTAGCTTAGGGTTTCAATAGAATAAACAAAAATTAGAGAATATGATCGTTACACAAGAGTATAAATACTATATGCTAGAAAAGTACCAACCTACCCTTTACAAAGATACAATAAACCAATAATAATAATAATAATAATAATAATATCTTACAGGAACTACCCTATAGCCATTATACTAATTGTACACAACGTCTAAAAACGTGTCTTCGAGAACCATACGACCAGGACTCCTACTTATCTCATATTTAGCAACTCGGCAATCGTCACCTTTTGCAAGTATCCGACCTACTGACTTTTTCATATTCGACCCTAATAACTTATAACTCGATTTTGAAAATTTTGAATATATATATATATATATATATATATATATATATATATATATATATATATATATATATATATATATATATATATATATATATATATATATATATATATATATATATATATATATAGACACTACATAGATGCGACACTATCTCTTTTTAAAATATAGCAATCCTAAAATACAATTCACGTGAATCTCCCCTTTGTATTAAGTTTTTCGGAAGTTAGAAATTGAATTCGTGACTAATTGGTTAAAGTTTCTAGTCCCTTGCACTAGTAGGAATAGGATCAAACACATGTTGTACAAAAATATTTGAACAGCACGTTATTGTTTAACACGCTTTCTAAAACCGAACAACAACAAAATGAACATAACGAAACACTATATACTTTACAAATAATAAGGATTGATTTTCTTGAGAGTAGAGTGTAGCTATTTGTCCGTCTCCTACACCATTTCATGAGAGATGAGAATATTGCAACATTCTGCAATCTGGTCACGTCCTTACGCATGTTTTATGCAGTACTGTTATTTGCACTTCCAAGCGCATTACTCTTCTTCTTCTTTGCCGCCAACAGAAGATCGCCTATGTCAGCTCATACTTGACCAAAAAACAGCTTCTGAGGCACTCGACACATTCAGATGGGCCTCAACCTTCTCCAAATTCACCCATTCCCAATCCACATATCGCGCTTTGATACACAAGCTATGTACTTTTCGCCGTTTCGATACCGTCAAGCAACTGCTCGACGAAATGCCTAGCTCAATCGGAGCTTCTCCTGGTGACGGAATCTTCATAACTATTGTCCGGGGACTCTCGCGG